CTCCTTTAAAAGATGCTCACATGATATACTTCAATTCCAGTGTTTAGGAGGCTGTTGTGCGATGGTCTGAGTTCCAGGACAGCCTGGGATGCATATTTAACTCTGTCTCAAAAATAAAACAAAATAATAAAACAGCAGAAACAAATGCAAGCAAAGTCAAAGAAAACAGAGCTGCAGTAGAGTAGATGTAATCTCAAAAGCTGTTGGAGTCAAATCCTGCATGCCACATTTTCTCAGAGAGAAAAACAAACAAGTGAACAAACAATTTTTATCTCAGGGTCATTACTTCACTGAAGAAGGAAAACAGAATATTAATATTATTATTTTTTTGTGTGGGATCCTATTTTGTTTTTGTTGGGGTATTGAACCTAGGGCCATTGGCATGCCATACACATGTTCTACCACCACCCTCCAACCTAATCATTTCTATACAAAGAAAACTCAGGTTCAAAAATCTCATATCCAAAGAGGACTCGTAGAGTGTCTTGTTCACACTGGAGAATCTCTTGTCTCTTAGATTTATGACACAATGTTGAAATTTACCAAGTTGATGAAATTCAGCCAAGAAGAAAAGGACATTATTATTTTAAGGAGAGAAATTTCTTTTTTTACTTAAAAATAGATTTTTTATACAGTAAATTCCAATTGTGTTTTCTTCTCCCTACTCCCAGATCTTCCCCACCCACCCAAACCATATCCTTTATTTCTCTTTCTTATTATAATACAAACAGGCATCTAAGATAGTCATAATGACAAAATAAAATAAGGTAAAATAAAAGCAAACAGCCAGGCATGGTGGCACACGCCTTTAATCCCAGCACTCAGAAGGCAGAGGCAGGAGAATCTCAGAGTTTGAGGCCAGCCTAGTCTACAGAGCAAGTTCTCAGATAGCCTGGCCTACACAGAGAAACCCTGTCTCAAAAAAAAAAAAAAAAAAAAAACTCCAAAAATAAAAATACAAGCAAACAAACAAAACAGAATAGAGCAAAAAATAGGAGAAAGAGAGAGCGCCAAAGAAGAAGCACAAGAAACACACATAGACAGAGACAGACACATTCAAACACACAGAAAACACATAAAAGCAAAATTGGAAACCAGAAGATGTAAGCAAAAAATCTGTAAGGTTGAAAATAAACAAACAAACAAATAAATAAATAAAACAAAAATCCAAGCCAAAACAACAACAAAAACCAGACAAAGCACTGTGGGACCAAAAAAACCTTCCCAAAATACCACCAAGTTTTTGTTGGCCATCTACTTACTGCTTGTCACCGGGCCTGGCCTTAAGTGTGGTTTGCATACCGAGTGGAAACTAATTTTTCCTTTGTGACCGGTTATCCATTGGAGTTAACTTCTGAGTTAAGGGTGGGGGACTCTATAAGCCCTGTGCATGCTGCCACAATCTGTGAGTTCACAGCATCAGTCCTGCTGTGTCTAGAGGACCTTGCTTCCCAGAGTGTCCTCCACCCAATCTGGCTCTAACAGTCTTTCTGCTTCCTCTGTCACAGCATTCTCTGAGCCCTCAGGGGACGGTTTTGATGGAGACATCCCATTTAGACTGAGTGTTCCAGGGTCTCTCATTCCCTGCTCACTGCCCACCTATGAGCCTCTGAATTTGTTCCCATCTATTGCAGGAGAAACCTAAGCCTAGAAATCTCTTAAGGGGAAACGATTTCCTATCAACAGAACAGCTTTTACGTTCCCCATGAATTCTAGAAGCACATTTCCTTCCTATGGTTGTGCACAAGGTATTGCTGGTCACAGGACATATCTTAACTCTGACACTTGCTGTTTTTAGATTGTTAGATTGTTCTTAGATTGTTCATGAGAACACTCCTCTGGCTTAGTGTTCTTTACAGGGTAGAAACCAACCAAATGGGTGCCCGTGGTATTTCTTGAATGAGTCTGCCACCTCGTGGCTGTTTGGAAAACCAGCCCGGGTAAATGAGATCCATACACGAAAATAGGGAACCAGTCCGAAATAGATGTGTTTGTAAACTGAGGAGCGCAGGGCTCCCAAACTGGTAAAGTTCTCTACACGAAGGAAGCTTAGGGCATGGATTACATGAGCTGAAATGTGATGGTGCAAACGGAGACTTCTTACCGCCACTGCTGCTGTTCAAGCTTCCGCTGGTGAGGCCAGAAGATTGGCACAGGAAAACAAAAGAAGCCCTTAGGATTAAAAAAGAAAGCTGGAAGGCAGGTGTGGCCGTGCATGCCTTTAATCCGAGCACCTGGAATGGAGAGGCAGGTGGATCTCTAAGAGTGAGCCCCTATGTCAATAAAACAAAACAAAATAACAAAAACAACCCCAAACAAGTACATACACAAATAAACAAAATGCTAGAAATATTATTGGTTACAACAAATATGTAATAACATGTATGTAATAATTAATTTCAATTTTTGTTGTTTTTCCAGACAGGGTCTTTCTGTAGCTTTGGAGGTTGCCCTAGAACTCACTCTGTAGACCAGGCTGGCCTTGAACTCACAGAGATCTCATTGTCATGTCTTTTTGTTTTGTCTTGTGACACACTGAGTTAAACTAGGGTCATTTGTGGCCATACACTCATTTGAGCCTGACAGGATCACCTGTGGACACTCAGGTGAAGATAGTGGCTGCCTCTCCACTCAGAATCCACTAGAGGGGATTGTGGAGGAAAGAGGAGGGGAAGGGAAGGGAGGGGAGGGGAGAGGGCGGGGATTGTCTCTGAGTCCCTCATGATCCGTGATTGCCAGATACAAACCCCAGTCCATGATGAAGCAACAACTCTTTTCTTTTATTATTATGCTTTAATTAGGGTTACTTACAGGAACATGGAGAACTTACTGATGGCCACACTCCCTAAGCAAATATCTTAGCTGCCTTTAGATCCTTGGGGAGGGGCAGGTCCTCCTTAGGGAGAGGCAGGTCCTCAGGAGCTCCTTCATCCACAGCCTCCGCTATCTGCATTCCTCTGAAACTGCCCTCCCACATCCACTCATCACCTCTAGTTCCAAACCTTCCTTTCTTCAGCTCATCCTGTTTCTCAGCTTTGGACTTAGAGGACCACTGCTCCTCTCTTCCTCGCTCCAGTGAGCCTTAGAGGTTCAGAATGCTTGTCCCCTGTGCTCAGCATCTGCTTTCTCCTCTGCATCCTTACAGGGATGGCTCTCTTCAGTCGGGCATCAGCTTCATGCTAGGAGATGCTGCTGTCCCTGAGCATTTATCACAAACTGGCTCCCCATTTGATGTCCACCACTTCTCAGAGAGAAATGACTATCTGGGAATGACCTCACTGCCGCAAGAGCCTTCTCCACTTGGTGATGGCTGAATCTCTATTGTTCAGCCTTAGTTTCTGACTCTCTAGACACATTCAGTTTGTGTGTTCTCAAAATCCATATGGTAGTAATCACCTCAGTTCATCTGTGGGTGTCTTAGTTATTTTTTGGGTACTGTGTGATAGAATGCCATGACCAAAAGCAACTTCAATGGAGAAATGGCTTATATCTGGCATATGGTTCTGAGGGATGCAGTCCATGAAAGAAGGCAGTAGGTAAAGAAGGCAACTTAAATAATTAGCTTCATCTCAAGTTTATGTAGAGGCAGTACCTGCAAAACTTCTATAGTCGTTTTTCAGCATCTCCTTGGCCCACACTCCTCTTCTCATTGGAGAAAGTGTGTGTGTGTGTGTGTGTGTGTGTGTGTGTGTGTGTGTGTGTGTCCCTATTCTCCATTCTCTAAGAGCACTGTAGCATCCCTTATGCTAAGGGGGCTCCACAGGGATGATAGATTCATTATCTTCCAGCCTCGATCTCGAAGTTCCCAAAAGGTATTTAGGATACTTCTGAGTCCATCCAGCTAGTGAATGTCCCTTAAAAAATACTTCTGGAAGACTCCCCTGAAAATCCTGACTACAAGCATGAAGAAATAAACCTAGAAGAACTACAAGACGTGATGTATATTTTATTTTTTTAGTTTTTTATTTTTTATATATTTGAATTACAAGCAAGATTGAATATTTTAACTGCTCAAAAACAAAACAACAAAAATCATCTTTGGCTGACTTGTAATCACTGCCCAGTCTATACTTGTATTAATGTAGAGATGCATATTACTTTTAAAAGTTTATGCATTTTCAGAGCAAGGGGACCAGACACCAATAAAAATGGATTGCCCAGATGATCTTGCATCCAGAACAGTTTTAAGGCTGCTGGCTGAGATGATTCAGCCTTAGACTACTCTAGCCAAAACTTAACAATTATCCTGATTTTTCTCAAGGTTTCTTTAAAGATTCCAGTGCACCCAGACAACAGAAAGCAGTTGAGGAAAAACAACTCCCATATATCCCAAAGATTGGTTATAGATGTTTGCTATCATTAAAGGGGAGTAGTTACAAATTATTATGGGTCTTAGTAAAAGAGAAAGCTAATTGAGAGTTAAATTCAAAGATCTCTTTCTAAAGGAAAAAAGGGGGTAGATTATTCAATCTACTTTTAAACTAAAAGAACAACTACTAGTCTTAAAAATTTTACATTGGTATGGATTCTGGTTTATTGATACAAATTTAAACTTATTTTTGCTATTATATATATTATAATATATATATGTGTGTGTTTCTACCTTTGTTTGTGGTATTGTGCTTATGCAACTTATTTAAAAATGTAACATATAATTAAGAAATACAACCTGGGTGGTGCATGCTTTTAATTCCAGCACTTGGGGGGGCAGAGGCAGGTAGATCTCTGTGAGTTCAAAGCCAACCTTGTCTACAAGAGCTAGTTCCAGGACAGCTAGGGCTACACAGATAAACCCTGTCTTGAAAAAAAGAAAAAAAATACAGGTTAATATTAATCATCTATAATAATCAAACTTATACTCATATTGGTGTGTTTTCAAGGTTAAACATATATTTAGGTAGTTGGTCTTCAAACACTTTAAAGACCCACAGAATATGGCATTTAATATGCTTAATAACTTAAGGCTTTTCATGACAGTGAGACACATCTATTCCTGACAGCACCCATTTACTTCAAAAGAAGATGATGGACATCAAAGAACCACCGTAAAGAGTTTACTTTCTTTATGGCAAAGCTAGCCATTTGGGCAAAGAAACTGCCCTTGCCTCAATTGCTGACATTATACTGTCCAAATTGGACCAGCAGGATGGAAAAAAGAAGTAGCTGCCAAATTTTGTCAAGACAAGGTAGGAAAGTCCTTCAACATTCCTTGCTTCTCGAAAATGTCTGTCAGATATACGAGGCGTGTAGGCCAAAGTTAGATGCCCCAATGTTACAAAAGAACCTAGGGTAATTGTCCAGGCAGCCAGAGGTCCCTGCCAGTAGGTAACATTTCACCATTCTGGAGCCTTTGATGGAGTTAAAAACAAAATAATTAATTTTCCTTAACTAATTTCCTTAACTAATTTCCTTAACTAATAAAACTTAGTTAACTTCATAACTAAGTTTTCCTTAGTTATGATAAGAAGGTAAGTTAGACATGAAATTTTAGAGTCACAAAATAAGATAGGTAATAAAATATTTTCTCTGATTTCATCAAATATAAATGGATTGGCTACTATAACTGTACTTCTCACTTGATAACTGTTTTGTTGTATAAAATTTTACTATGTCAAAGTTAAAACCTTCCTTTTCTCATTTAGACAAAAAGGGCGAATGGTGTGGAATAATCTTTCTGTACAGGGTGTAAATTACACTGTGATTGGCTTAATAAAGAAGCTAACTGGCCAATAGCTGGAAAGGCAGGAGAACCAGACTAAGTGCACTGAAAGAAAAGCAGAATGAGAGGAGTCACCAGTAAGACACGGAGAGGCAATAGGAGGGGCAGGTTGAAAGAGAGGTAATACCACGAGGCAGAATGTAGATTAATAGAAATGGATTAATTTAAGTTGTAAGGGCTAGTTAGTAATAAGCCCAAGCTAATGAGTGAGCATTTATAATTAATATTGAGGTTCTGTGTTGGTAATTTGGGAACTGGTGGGTGGGAAAGCAGTTTAGACCAGAGGAATTTGGAAAGGATAATCTCTAACTTGTTGAACTGCTTGCAGGCTGTGCTCCAGGTTCCCGGATGTTGTGATGTCACCCATTCTGGGTGGGGCTTTGGTGATGCAGCTCTCTTTGCCTCATTTTTACTCCTGTAAATAAATCATCACCTGTACTTTTGTAAGTAACCCCAATAAAACTCATTGGCTAGCCAAGTTGGACTTTGGTATTATATAATTTGTTCTGTCATGGAATCCCTATGCTGCGTCTCCCCAGGAGAAGTTTTGTCATACAGCAGAAGGAATTTGCACAAAGCTGAAAATCTAGAAAGCAGAGGCTAAATTAGGGATTTAACTCATCCTCTAACAGCCAAACCTGTTTACTTAAGTCCCAAGATGCTCCATCTCTCTAGCCATGCTTTCATGGAGAAGAGTGGGTATCTCAGAGAGCCACTCTTTACACACACACACACACACACACACACACACACACACACACAGAGAGAGAGAGAGAGAGAGACAGAGAGAGAGAGAGAGAGAGAGAGAGAGAGAACTACTGTGTATAAATATAATCAATTCTGCCATTGAAAAAGATGATTGAAAGGATGGACAGTTAGAAATTTTTGATTCACCGAACTGGTAAGAACACTTTCACAAGAGACTCAGATTACTAATTAAGCTAAGTAAGGCGCAAATAATGAATCAGCATTGGAAAAATGAGGCCTCATCTACTGGTAATGAAATGTACCATCAATCTCAGCTGTGAATTCTAAGAGATGCAATAATGACTAGCCTGGTAAGACATGCCTACTGGCGCAATAGTGGTATGAATGTCAGAGAGCAACCCACCACTCTTTGATTGGATCTAAGTCACACTCCACAAGGTGAAACCCATTCCTGTCACTAATTATTGGGGCCAAGAACCTGTGGGTAGTGAGGTCATGGTCTCTAGAGAAGAACTTCTTACTATTAGCTACTTAAGGAAACCGACTCGAAATGACTTATTGTTATACCCATAGACTAGTGAATCTCTTGACTCTTATTAGAGAAGCTTCTGTTTTCAATAGATGTAATTAAAAGAGACCCACAACAGTCAAGGTTCAGATAATGAGAGACTGCAGAACACTCAGTCCTAAATAGGACAACTACACCCCATCCTCTCCCCCCAAGGCTCCGGGATCATTGTGGAAGAGGGGGCAGAAAGACTGTAAGAGACAGAAGCAGTGGGTGACAATAATGACACAGTATTTTATAGGCACAGCAGTACAGGTCCTGTGTATGGACTCACAGAGGTATGGGAAGTGTGCACAACACCTATGCAAGTTCAGGCTAGACAAAATCCCAGTATGGAGTTGGGGGTGGGCATGAAATCCTACCTATAACCAAGGAACTACAGGCAATGATATATTCTGTGAAATGAAGAGCGAGTTTTCCTTGTGTGACCTCTGGCAGTCAGTGGTCTACACTCTAGTAGAAGGCCACACATCCAGGAGTACATGTGTAACACAGATGTACTTGATGGGCTTAAGAAAACAAAAAGAGGACCCAAAGTTGGGTGAGTAAGGAAAGAAATGGATCTGGGAGGCTTTGAGGGAGAGATATGAATATCCTCAAAATACATTGTAGGAAATTCTTCAAGAATCAGTAAACAAAGGAAAAAGAAATATAAGCAACTTAAAACCACTTTGTACCTATGAAGAGTTACTGGTTGGTTGTATTGGTAGAAGAGTTCTGGATAAACTGGTTTTCTTAAGTTCTTTTGATTGTACTGAATTTGTTTAATCTTATTGGAGGGCAGAAACCATAAAAATCAACACAGCTGTGATTGATAGACTCAATACCAGACCCGTATATAGACTATTTCAAAGGGTGAAAAAAACCTTTTGAAGTTTAAAGCTGTCATAGCTGGGTTATTACGAACAAGAAAGAGGGAAGTAATGGCTTGCCAATATACAGCGTTGAACTTCTCTGATTTGGCAGAGATTCTGTCTAATAGTCCATTCAGATAATGCTAAGAAGAAGCAAAATTGTTGCCCAGAAAGCAGAACATTGTGCTGTGTTCTGGGTTCATCAACAAAAAAGGTTCATATGTAGATGAATAAGAAAGGCTAACTTCAGGCTAAAAACTCCTTGTTCCTGTAATTGCTGTTCATTGATGTGTCACCCTAAAACCAAGAAAAGCTGGGAGAGAGAGAACATTTGCTCTGGAAGTCCAGGGGCCAAGCTAGGTCTTCCTGTTCTGAGGTCAGAATGAGGCACATTCTTCATCCAGGTGGAGACAGAGAGATTCAAGTGAAGCAGAAACATGTAGGAGGCATGACATGAAAAAGTCAGTGCAGGAAGAGCTGATGAGAAGAGAGGCTCTTAGCAGATATTTCTTAGTCCTGAGTTACTCCCCAATTATTCATAGTCTAGTCACTAAAGCCATAAACGATCGAGTGCAAAATTTCATCACTACACATAGAATTTTATAACATGGCGTTAAAAAGTGTCTTAGAGTAACTTTGCTGTGATGAAACGTACTGACCAAAAGCAAGGAAAGGGTTTATTTTGTTTACTACTTCATATCACTGTTCATTATCAGAGGAAGTCTGGGCAGGAACTCAAACAGGACAGGAACCTGGAGGCAGGAGCTGATGCAGAGGCCATGGAGGGGTACTGTTTTTGGCTTGTTCTTTATGGCTTGCCCAGTCTTCTTTCTTATAGAACTCAGATCCCCCAGCCTGGAGTGGTGCCACCCACCATGGGCTGCACTCTCTCCCATCAGTCATTAATTAAGAAAATTCCCTACAGGCTTGCCTGCAGCCCCATTTCACAGAGGCACTTTCTCAATTTGAATTCCCTTCTCTCAAATGACTCAAGCTTGTGTCAAGTTGACATAAAATTAGACATCACAGAATTCTAAGTTACCTTCCACCACCCCACTTCAGAAGTAACATCAATTCCCAGGGAGCTCCACTGTCAATAATCTGGGGACAAACCCTGCAGACACACCCCCATATTTATCTATAACCTCAATGGGACAATACGTTGTGTAGCAATTGGCTTTAGGAACACGATGGCTTGCTTTTGATGTCTTTATTTGTGCTTGGCTTTGATACAATCAATAAAGGAAATTAAACTTAAAAAAAAAAGTCTTCCAAGAACACTGACACTCTAGCACGGGGCCTAAGATTCTTCTACTGTGTTAAGTTCCCCGGGTACATTCATACAAATATCCACTTCATTTTCACACACGGGGTTTGCTTCCCCTCCACTCATTTCAGCCTGGCTCTCTTGTTTCATATCCTCTTGTTTATTTGGAGAAAAAGTCTTCATTCTCATGTTCATTCAGCTTTATTTGAGTAGGAGCTGCCTGGGCTTGAGAGGCGAGAGCATTATAGAAACTTGGGATCCACTGCGAGCAGAGACAGGCAGACACTGCAACTTGGGCAGTGCTTGAGCTTCATGTGGGCAATGCAGCGCCCTCTGATTTGCTTATGACAGAACGGTGAGTCCTTCACGTTCTGCTGGCAACTTGGTTTTGCATTTACCGATTTACTCCTTCCACCATTCCTTGCACTGGCTTTAAATCAGAAGGATTTTCTTTAGTTTAACCCTGCGGGAGCTGGTCTGATTAGAAGCAGGTCCCACTCTCCGTGCTCCAGGCCCCTTCAACAGTCTCAGAAAAGCTGGTGGATGGTTTACAACATTCTTTATGCCACAATAGCTTATCCTCTACAGGATTTAAGGGGGAAGGGAGCCCCCAAATTAAGGACTGTTTTCCCAGACTAAAGCCCTTGCACTTTAATCCCTTGCTTGGCGTCTTGTGGCAACAGGCATGCCTTGCTTGGAAGAGCCCTTGCTGATTGGCAAGCAGACCCTGTTTTCCCTTTGGTTTTACATGGTTTGTTCATACAAAGTGCTGGTGAATAGAATGTACTTGGGAACAGAGGGATTTGTGGGAGAATTATGGGCGATGGGAGGGGATGAGAACTGTGCGGAGGGGGGGGTGTAGGGGGAGATCAGGTTTCTTTCATCTGGAGAAAATTTTGCTAGCACAATACCAACACCAGCCAGTCCCTCCCTCTTCCACTTTCAGCCCCGTGCTTCCCTGTAAACAAGTGTCTACTCAGGTTTTCGGCTCTCCTTTTACAAACATAAAGAGCAGGTAAAATGGAGAGTTGGAGTTAAGCTGTTTGCTTTCAGTTACCCAGTCTGTAGTAACATGGGTGGAATTCAAATTCCTCAGTGGTAATCTTTGCCCTCGTTCTTGAAGCAACCTGCCTGATTTGTGTTGCAGACAGAGGATGGAGGCGGCTTTGAAGGGCTGGTAAAGGGAACTCTCTACTGGAAGCCCAGCCCCAGTCTGTTTGTGATGCCCTGGGGAAGACACCACTGCGGAAAAAGCAGCGTCCTCTGTGCCCAGGATCACCAAAATCGAACAAATCCAACCAAAATTTAAAGAAAAATTTCTTGCCTTGCCCAACTGGGTAGAACATCATACTCAATCTTCAAGCAGAGTTTCTCAGCCTTTTCATTATTACAATGATTGATATTTTGGGCTGGATAACTGTTGTGGGACTGTCTGCAGGCCTCTATCAACTATATGACAGTTCCATCCCTCCAACTCTCAGGTGATACTGCCAAATGTTATCTGGGAAGCAAGACAACTCATAGCACCTATTAAATCAAGGACACCCTTTCCTATGGTCACATGGACAGTGAGGCTGAGGATGGAGAGGGAAATGAAAAAGGATGAAACCAACACACTGATTTTCCTTTGAAGAAAAATTTAAATGTATGTAGGGGGAAAGAGCCGGCACTGTCATGTATAATACTGACTAACCTTTTGCTTGCAATATGTAGATGGATCTGTCAGTCCTGTGGCTGAATTTTATACTAGTAGAATGGAATACACTTTCAAAATGGGTCTCTGGGTGGGGGGTTGGGTCACTCTAGTGACATGGACAGGTATAATTCAAAGATACTTCACACAAAGGTGGCTGGACTAACACTATTGTCACTGTGTTTGTTTTAAGCATCTTGTTTTGTTTGGGAAACGGCCTTGGTGGGTGGTGGCGAAGGCAGGAAAGGGAGTCACAGGTGAGGCTGGGAGGTGAGATGAGGTCTGTCAGGAATTCAGCATAGCCAGGTTTTAAAAAGTGGAATAAACGTGGATGACTTTTTTTTTTTTTTTTTTTTTTTTTTGGAAACTGGATAATTTTAGTGACAAAGAGTCCCTTCTGTTGCAAGCAATTTTGTGGCAAGTCATTTAGCAAAAATAAATAGTTATGGAACAATTTGTCTTTTTTTGATGAAAACCTTTACAATGTAGGTTACGGCTTATTGGAACAAGTTATATAGGCAATTTAAATGACTGTGACTCAGTATATGAGCTGTGTAGTCTAGCCTTGCTCTTTTAACATTCGTTCTTTTGGAAAGGAAAACATCCCCTTTTCATGGCTGTGATGGTGAAAGTTATTTAAATTTACCATTAACTATATCCTTAACCCTTTAGGCTCCCAAATTCATTGGTCTGTAACATTCACAACTGGTAGTACAATGGTTTTGTAAAATTCATAGTTTCATACACTTGATTGCTAATTCCCTGAGTGTATTTTAGAGACGTTTTGAATATAATATGTCCTGAGATGTTAGAGGAGCTGCTAAAGATGAAACTAATCCACCCTCACTGTCCTTTCTGTCTGTATGCAATCTCCCCCATCCGTGAGCACATGCACTCACATGTATCGTACTGTGGAATGAAGTCAGGGCCTCCAGCATCCCAGGGAAGTGTTCCATAACTGAGCCACACCCTTGGCCTCTCCCCTTTTCTTTGCTTGTAATTTTTTTAATTAAAAAGGGGTGAACAGCTAAATCCAATTCGAGACAGCATCAAGAAGAGAGACTTGCAATTCTGTTCATTGGTACAAGCTTTGGCCTCCTGTTTCCATGGAAACCAGTGATCTGTATTCCAGTCACACCTTTAGAAGGCTTGTTTTTCTCTCTCCATCCTAAAAACCTAGCCATAAGCACCAGAGGTGTTGAATAATAATTACCTTATCTGTTACTTTAAAAAAGTTAAACACGAGGATACACAAAGGAAGACAATACCTAGAGGCTCATCCTGAAAACATAGTAGAGATATCTATTAATTTTAAGATGATCATCAAGATAAAACATACCTGAATCCTAACGGTGTGATGCCGTACCGTGCAACACCCACTGACCTTACCCCACCTCCACATACCTAGTTTCTTTAGCAAATGGTAAATATCATAAATTATAAGTGTTCATCTCATAAACAGAGTGAAACAGAGGCTTGCTTTAAGAGTTACAAAAATAATTCATTGGTTGGCTTTCAACCTGGCATGGTTTTTGCCTCCAGAGGACATTAGGCCATACCTGGAAACAGTTTTGGTTATAATAATTGGTTATAGTGTGGGAACCACAGCACTCCAAATAGGTCTAGCTTCATAGGTGGTATACTGCCATAAGAGAAAGAAATGTGTAATTGAACAAATCTCACTGGTGATCTGATTTCCTGTTCTTGTGCTGTTTGTTTCTTAATTAGTTTAAGTAGTAGGAGGATGGGGCAGGGAGAGGAGAGATGTTGAAAGAAAGATCTATCTATCTACCTATCAATTTAGAGAGATGGAGAGAGGGATAGAAGAGGAGGCTGAGAATGGGGAGGATCGGGAAAAGAGGGAAAAGAATAGGAAGAGGGGGAGGGAGAAGAAGAAGAAGAAGAAGAAGAAGAAGAAGAAGAAGAAGAAGAAGAAGAAGAAGAAGAAGAGAAGAAGAATTGGTCATCACAAAACATTTTCACCTTTTCCCCATCACTTTTCGGTTACAATTTGATACTTCCATCACCACTCTTATTAAAGTTCTAGTATTTATTTTCCTGTCAAGAGAGACTTATCTTTCCCAGGTGAGATACTGATGGCAGGCACTTACCTCTTGGCATTTTTTTCCTTAAATTTGGTTATGTTTTGTCATCGCGACCCTGGAGGGCAAGCTCCTTTCGAATCCCTGCTCCTCTCCTGTGGGTAGATCCAACCAAGAGAACAACATGCATTTCCATTCCCCTATTCTTTGGGAAGAAGCAGAACAAACAAGCAACGCTGGCACCACCAGAGGGCGCCAGAGTGCCGCGAAAGGAAATTCCAGGGCTCCGTGGGTTTCGGGATGGTTAAAATTGGCTTTTGTCTGAAGAAAGCCGTGGTTCTCAAAGATGTCACCAATGTATTATTTTCCAAATTTAAAATTTTATTTTGCATTTTCTTTCTCCCTTTTTTTGCACGACGAGCATATCTCCTAAACCTGATGGCTGCTGTGTACCCCGGTGCTACCCTAAGTGGTCGCCGACAGGGACACGCGGACTTTGCAAGGCTGGCCACAGCCTGGCTGGGTGCGCTCGCTTCTGAGTAGCATCTTAGGCAGCCCGAGAGCTGGTGACTTCCATGAAAGCACAGACACAAAACGTCGAAGCATTTCTTCCTTTCTTCCTCTCCGAAGTCGGGAGAGCATCCCCCGAGGGGCGGTGCCGTCCACCCCTCTACCCGGACCTGGGTTCTGGGTGGTGGTGCGGGGCAAAGCTGCAGCCTCCTGGTCCCCCCCCAGGGCCAGCATCTGCCTGGAGACGCCCCAGATGTGCTTGCCTGGGGGGGGGGGGGTAACACCCTAAAACCTGCGGACATCTGCTTTGATGGTTTCAAGGGAAGCATCGCGTCTCCCCCAGCCTGGCTGCCTACGCGATTGCAGAATCTCAGCCCGACGTCTGGGGCGGGCTGGATTGGGGTGCAGAGAAAGAGGGCTGCAGCGGGGGCGTAGTTCAGTCCCTTAAGTCTGAACGGCAGCCTGAGCTACTTATTCAATGCTTTCAAATAAAATGTGTGTGAGACAGAGAGAGCAGAAAAAATCCACAGACAGCCCCT